AACTGTTCTTGTTTATATCACTGATTTTTGCATTTTTTTTTTCAAATTTAAATTTTTTTAGCAATCTTACATTTTTGGCACAAGCAGATGCAAATTTACGGTGTGCTGTTTTTAATTTTTTTTTTTTTTAAAAGTTGGAACTGCTCCTCCTGTTTTAGCCTAATACTCATAGTCTCTAATTGAGAACTTAATGAGTTACAATGTGCGTTGAGAACCTTGTTTTTAGAATTTAAATATATAACTTCAGTTTCCAACTTTGATACCTGTATTTTTAAATTATCTATTTGCTCCACATTATTTTTTTCTTTAGAAATTAATTGTTCAACTTGACTACTTAGTTCCTTATTCCTATTTAAAATATAAAAATTATCTGCATCTGCTGATTTTTTTTGTTTTTTTGTTTGTGGAGCTGGAGACAGTTGCATTTTAAAAAATGCTTCGTTTTTTGAAGCTTCAAAATACTTTTTAGAATCTTTTTTTCTTTGTTTTATTTTTCGGCACATTTTATTTAACACATCAATATTAGGCATATTAAACTCAATTGGCAAAAGAAAACTTAAAAAAGTAAACAACGCTTTTGGATGAAAAACTGTTAATAAAATTGAAATCACATTGTTAGTTATCTTACTAGTGTCAATTACTCGCTTTACAAAATTAAAGTTATACTCATTTTCCCAACCATCTTCTCAACCGATGTACAGTTTCAAAATTTCCCTCTCAGTTGCATACATCACATAAATAATGATAATGATATAATAATATTTACAAATAAATACACTAAAAATAAAAGAATTAAGCAACTTATCTGAGATTAGTCAAATATCCACGAGGAAATAATCCACGAAACTTTGCTTTATAATCTTTATTGATATAGTAATAAAATTATAATACAAACAACTTAAATAGACTAATATTGACAAATAGATGCACTAGATAAAATCGGATTAATCAACTTATTTGAAATTAGTCAAATATCCAAGAGAAATTAATCCGCGAAACTTTGTTATTTATTCTATAAAATGTGTCTCGTTTGTTTTGTTTGTTTTCTTAAAATGCATCCGATAATCGTTGGGGACGTAACGATCAGAGTTTGCGTCACCGCTTTAAAATGTAAACAAGAATTTATGCAAAAAAAACTAAAAAAAATGTCGCTAAACATGCCAAGTTTGAAAACATATTTGATAACATAGCTAGAAGTACAGAAAATAATTTTTTGATTTTCTTATTTATATAAGGTTGAAGTATTACTAAATTTACAGACTTTTCAAAAATGTTATGTTTTTTATTCAAAACGAATAAAAACAAAAATATAAATGCATTAAAAACTAACTTTCTATATAAAAACTTGCAAAGTCTGTGGAAATCTAGATAGAACAGACATTCATTAATAACTGTTCTAAATTTCAACCATCGACCATGTAGCTATGTTATCAAATCTTAGTTGGCCTAAGACAGGTTTTGCGTAAAAATCGCAAAAATCAGAAAAGTGATGCCAAATTATTAACAATATTTTTACAGCTTTCATTTTTATTCCGTTTAATGTAAATGTTTATTTAACAAGGAAAGATAGATCTTTTATATTTTTTTTATTTGAAGATGAAAGCATTTATAGAAAAAAAATACTATTATTTTAAAGTTAATGAATTTTTATACTTTTTATGCGGAAATACTTTTTTTTTTGATTAACTCGTGACGTCAGGCTCGCTTTTATATTGAGTGAAACAGCCGTGGCATACGTACATGTGTACAAGTTTGTTTCTTCTAATGTTAGGGTACCTTATATTTATATGTGTTTACATATCTATTTATGGTCACACCACGCGCACTCCTCACCACCCTCACGAGATCTCTAAGAATGTTGGAGCTGTTTTCAAAAACTGGGATAGGGATTGGTTTTTTGGCTTTTGTAGTGTAGTCCTATTATATTGCAATATTGACTAGCATGACGTAGAGTGCAGGCGGTGAGATCTGTTGCAAGGACACGCCCCTGACGAGTGGCGTTAGTGCAGGTCTCGGGCTCTCCGAAACGTCATTGGTGATCGCAGTGCATTCCTGAGGAGGGGGATCACCATTTATCCACTACTTAATTCTAATTGGTTATTATGGCACCAACATTTTTTTACCTCTTAAACCCATGTATTTTTGCGCTTTATGAGCTTTTTATTATGAATTTGGTACATTTACGGCATTTATATATTTTTTATGTTACACAGGTGATTATCAGTTATCAATTTTTTATCTAGAGTTTAGAACATATATAGTACCACATTTATTAGACACTTGTATGGTGCGATTGTTTTAGTTATGAATACCATTATAAACCAGCGGATTTTTATTGACTTGTTTACTCATAGATCATTATTTCATCATTTGTTTAAAGATGACTAGAGTGTGAGTTTTTATTCCCCCTTTTCCTGAGTTGCTTACTTTTACTCTTCCAACTAAATAGTCTTTGCATTAATTTATGTTTTTTTTTTTACCTATATGACATCATCTTCAATCTGTTTTTACTTTCACATCTCCCAGGTCTATGTAACTGGACGGCTCCGTTGGTCACTTTTTGCGATCATTGTGTCGCATAAACAAAAATAAAAATGTCTTAAAAATGTACATGAGATTGTAGGAGTTTAAGGAAATGCGTTGTGTCTTTAAAGTATGCTGGTAATTGCTTGCTCATAAAAAGCCAATCTTAATAAAAATCATATGAAGGAAAGAATGGGTTCTGCAAAAAAGTGTTATTTAATGCCACATTGTTTTGGAAAAAGTTATCTGGTCTGATGAATCTAAGTTTAACTAAAAATAATTTGATGGTGCACAAAAAGTTTGGAGAGGTATGAAGCTTTTCAATTGAGTTACACAAGATGAACAGTTAAATATGCAATGGAAGTCTAATGTTATGGGGTTGTATGGTGTGAAATGGTGTTGGTAAAGTAGAATTTATTTATGAAACTATGAATGCTGATTTGTATAAAAATATATTGAAGCAAAATTTAAAAACTTCTGCTGAAAAACTTAGAGAAGAAAACAATTCTTTTTTTCAACAAGACAATGATCAAAAACACACTGCTATAAAAACTTAAACCTTTTTTGATAAAAGCTGCATAAAACGTTTGAAAATGGTTTTCTCATAGTTCTTATTTGAATCCATTAGAACATTTATTGACTTTATTAGATAAATTCATTGAATAGGTAATCAATTTCATCAATCAATTTCAATCAATCTTTTATCAATTTCAATATCAAAATCAATTTCAATCAATATTCATTGAATAGGTAATCCATCATTTACCAAAAAAGAAGATTTAAAAAAATGCTTTTTTTTAATCATCGTCTAACATCAACATTAATTAAATAAAATGTTTAGTTGAATCAATGCCAAAATGTCTGTTAGATGTATTTAAATCAAAAGGAGGACCAGCTAATTATCAAGGTTTATTATTAAAATATAAAAAACTTACAACTGTTTCTCATTTATTTTAGTAAACTATTTTTTCTTTTATATTGTTATTTCTTTGTTATTACTTTGTTATTAATATTTGTTATTAGCTTTTTTGTAAAATTATTTCAGTGTTTTTACATTTCAGGTGTTTTTATTTCCTTCTTTTAGGTTAAAATTTCTCATCAGAAAATTAAATTAAATAAAACTAAAAATTTTGAGAAAAAAAATTCAACTAAAAATTTTGAGAAAAAAATGCAACTAAAAATTTTGAGAAAAAAATTCTTTATAATTAATGTATGATACAATATTTTATTCAAAGGTGTTATTTTTATTGAAAATTACTTTTTACAATTAAATTCTTACTGTGTGTATGTATGTATGTATGTATGTATGTATATATATATATATATATATATATATATATATATATATATATATATATATATATATATACATATATATATATATATATATATATTTATATATATAGTAGGTGTAGGTGTCACGTAGGGGTTGCCAAGACAACTTTTACCAACTAAATAAAAAAAAAAGGTCCTCATTTTTTAAAATTTGCCGACTGCCTTATCAACATTTGTCAACTGACACTCTGAGTTTACAGACTAACTTGTTGAAACTTGTTGAAAGGGTCAACATTTGCCTTCTGAATAGTCAAAAAATGTCAAATTTGCGGACTAAATGAACAAAAAAATCATTGATGGGGGGGTGTTGTCACCCCAAACACACGCACAAACACACACACACCTCCCCATCTTGCCAGTCTTGTTTATATATATATATATATATATATATATATATATATATATATATATATATATATATATATATATATATAAACAAATGCGGTAGTGGTGTAGTGGTAGAGCGCTCGCTTCATAAACGAGTGGTTCCGAGTTCGATCCCCACCACGTCCCTGGTAGTACCGCGCTCAACTCGTTTCTCCGCGCAGCGGCCTTGTTCATCAAGGTTCGTGTTTCAGAGTTATAGAGTTGAGAGAGGGCTATAACCACAAATAAGTAGCCTCCTCGTCTGTAGTGGCCTTCTCGGCCTTGAGGAGGTGAATTAAATAAAAAAAATATATATATACATATATATATATATATATATATATATATATATATATATATATATATATATATATATACATATATATATATATATATATATATATGTATATATATATATATATATATATATATATATATATATATATATATATATATATATATATATATATATATATATATATATATAAATTAGTAGAAAAATTTTTTTTTTTTTTTTTTAAAAAAAATTTTGTCAAGTGATTTTCTACTAATCTATAATTGCTCTGTTCTTTTAAGAACATTGAGCACTCTATTTTGTAGAATACATTTTTTTAAAATATATATATATATATATATATATATATATATATATATATATATATATATATATATATATATATATATATATATATATACGTATATATATATATATATACATACATACATACATATACATAGTCCAATGTTTTAAATTAAATATTTTGTTTTGATTTCAGATTTAATTAAACAAAATCAAGATGAATATACTGCATTCCAATTTTTTATCACTCCATATTATGTTAATAGAAACCAAGAAACTTCTTCGTCAAAAGTTTTTATATTCATTTAAAGAAATATATAATGTTGAATGGGCAGATGAAAATGAAAATGATTTTTTTGTTAATGGAGATGGCAAAGAAATTCAAAATAGTTGCAAAAAAGTACAAAAAACTTCTTTAGATTCTAAAAACTCAAATGAATGGGATATTACTCTTTTGTGTACTATATTGTCATCAAAGCTATTTTTGAAAAAAAATATGTACTCCTTGCATTTAATCCAAAAAATATCATCAGTACGAAATCGAATATGTCATTCACCCACATTAGAAATAACAGATAAATCTTTTGATGAACTTTCAAATGAGCTGACCCCATTAATGTTAGAATTAGGAGCATCTAAAGAGCTTGTTTTAGAATTGAAAAATAGCAAAAGGTTTCAAACTAACAAAGTTGACCTAGACAAAAATGCTAAACTTCTTAAGGAATCTGCAAATGAGGAGTTTAAGAATAAAAATTACGAACGTGCAATCGAAATCTATACTTCTGCAATTGTTTTGCCTAATTTAACAAATCAAGAACTTGGTATATTGTATCGTAATCGATCATTATCTTATTTAAAACTGTATGAAAAAACAAAGGATGCTATTAATTTAGATTGTGCAGTTGCAGATGCAAAGAAAACATGTTTTTATCAACCAGTGTGGTTTAAAGGATATGCACAACTTGGTGACATATATCACACAATAAATGAGCTGCAAAAAGCAGTTAAAAACTATGAAAAAGCTCTTGCATTTAGTACAAATAATGATGAGGTGAAAAATAGTTTAGCTTCTTTAAAAGTCAAACTTGGAGAACAGTATAGACAAGAACATTTGATAAAATTGCCACTTTCAACTGAAGAGCAAGAAGACCAATTTTTAATGCAATTTCGAAAATATTTTCCAAATTCAAAAAATTTAAATACCTATTATTCAGAAATGAAAAATTTCTTTATTAAAGCAGACCCTATTTTGAAAGATGTCTGGACTGGACATGAGTATCGTGATGGCTCAAAAAATGTCAAACAAAACTATGAAATAGCTGCAAAGTACTATAGTAAAGCAGCACAAAGTAACAATGCTGAAGGTATGTATAACTTAGCTTGTTTAATGATGGGGGGATCAGGGGTTAAAGTAGACTTCAAAGCTGCATTAAGTCTGCTAAACGAGGCTGCTAAGCAAAAACCCACTCGTAAACTTATGGGTAAAGAAATTCCAAATGTAGGTGTTAAAGAAGCTGAACATAGATTAGGTTTAGCCTACCAAGAAGGTACTTATGTACCTAAAAACGAAGTAATTGCATCGAAATGGTATCATTTAGCTGTGCAGCATGGTTGTTCACAATCTGCTAATAACCTTGGTTTAATGTATTTTCATGGTTATGGTGTTCCCAAAAATATCAAACAATCTAAAAAACTATTTACTTTTGCTCATGAAAATGGTGATGTTAATGCTTCTTCGAATCTAGTTAATCTATATCTTCAAGAATTTGACGCAGATAGAGCATTAGTGTGGCATGAAATAGCTATTCAAAAATCTTATTTTTCAAAAATGCAAGATGGTAATATAAGGGAAAAAATTGAAAGCATTAAAAAAATCCAAAATATTAAAGATTTTAATGAAGTATTTCTTCCTATTAAAAAATATCTTCAACATTTTGAAAATTCATTATTTGTTCCATCTGCAGTTTTACATAAAGCCAGTAAATTTAACATTGAAGAGCTTTGTTTAAATTCAAAAAACGGATCAATAACAGCTAGCCAAATGCTTAAAGCTTTTTATTTATTTTACGGTGCCCTTGATATGCTTAAAAATAAAAGCTTTAATGAAGAAGATTTTTTAGGAATGCTTGCAACAGCATTTGTAACGTGCCAGATTATTTGTTTGATGCCTAAAAACATTGAAGCTGATGTATTAAAAATAGTTAACTCAATTATCCAAAAAAACAACAATCAAAAGAGTGAAATAGATTATTTTGCACGTATTTGTTTTGCTTACTTAAACTGTGGTGATTATAATTTATTAATTAATTTTCTTACATCATCACTTAAAATATATCCTAGTGATGGTGAAATGCTTCACTTGCTAGGATGTAGTTATTCATTTCTGCATCAATATAAGAATGCGTTGAAAGTATTTGAGTTAGCTTGCTCAACAGATCCATCGAATTACGAATATGTTTACAGCAAAGCTGTTGTTTTACGATTACTTGAAAATTCAGATGCAAAACAGTTTTATGAAAAATTTATTTCCATAGCACCAGCTGATCATCGTAAGATACCAGAATCATACTATAGTATTGGATTATGTTTTTTTAAACAAGATCAGGATAGTTTTAAAAATAGTTCTATAATTACATTCTATTACAATAAAGGTCTAGAAAATGAAAATCTTCAACTCTCATGTTTTTTACCTTATGAAAGCAATTCAAAAGTATGTATAGAAACTTTCCTAAATGTTTTCAAGCTTGAAACTAAAAAACTAACCGAAAGTTTACCAAAAATAATTGAACCCATTAATAAAAGTAATAATATATTTGTTGATTACAAAAGAAAAGAAACAATTGTTAATCATCGAAAAATGTTCGATATGGTAAAAGGGATTAAAAATAAACATCTTATATATAAAAAAATAACTTTCAAACCACTGCAAACCCAAATAGTTCCAACCTCAGTTATAGGTCTTAAGAAAGTTTTTTTTGAAGATATAGATTTTACAAAAGATTATCTTCTCACTGGCTGTGTGTTGACTGTTACAAATATTGACATCCCAATAGTTGGCTTATTTACTTCAGTTCATTTTGTAGTCGAAGATGAGAATGAAATTGTTGTAAAGTTATGCATTTATAATCTCGGTGAAGATTACCAATTAATAAACAATATGTTTCCAGTTGGTTGCATCTTTTCAGTTATTGATCCTTACGTAAGATTGGCTGTTGATGGCAAACCAATGATTAGAGTTGATGATCCTAATTCAATAATTATGTCTGAAAAAATTAAAATAGACATGTGTTTGTATTGCAGTAAAGAGAAATCAAAGTACACTTGCTCAAAATGTAAAGTTGCTAAATACTGCACCAAAGAATGCCAATGTAATGATTGGAAATTACTTAAACATAAAAGTGCTTGTAATTTTCTTTCGTGTAAGCAATAGATTTAAAATTTAAAATTATAATATCCAGACTTATGAAATATTTAATAAAACCAAAATTTTTGTTTGTTTGTTTAAAAGCAATGTAAAACTATTTGTTGTTATTTGTTTTATTTAGATCTTTTTGTTAGTGTTGTTACTACTTTTTAAATTATTCAACTGTCGACTAAATCGACAGTGAATATGTTTTCTAAAGCTGACTAAAATTGACTAATGTATTTTTGAAATAAATTAAGTTGACTGAAAGTCTATTACAGGTATAATCTTTTTTCGGATAATTTCGAAATTCTGGATCTTTTTCTTAACTTTTTTCTTAACTTAAATTTTTTCCGGAGATTCAAGACGTTTTCCATACATACAAGTTTAGGTGTATATTTTTGTAAAATATTTTTTTTTAAGGTTTTTTACTCAATCAAAATTATCAAAGTTTGAAAAAAAATTTTAAAACAACTCAGCTTAAAGCAAGTTTAAGAAAAAAGTATATTTCGGATTATTTCTGGATATTTTACCCAAACAGTTTTCCGGAATTTAAAAGTATGACCTGGATGATCTATGCTATTAAGTTGAGAAGTAGCAATAAATTTTTTCTAAATAAATTGTAAAAAAATTACTTTGTAATTTTTGTTATAGTTTAATAAAAAGTTTATTAAACCGCAACAATCTGCATTAGTATAATGAATACCGTAACAAATGCCCATTTTCTATAAATTACTTGTCCCCACTTGATCCGAATGTAAAACTTCCATATTTGATTTAAAATGATGTTGGTATTTCTTTAAACAAAAATCATGACTATTATATGCAATGCCTTGTGTAAATGGTTGTTACAAGGCATCATAATTTATATTATATGGTGTGGGCACCTCATGAAAATTTTATTGAACATATAAAATTTGACAATAACAAATAGGAAGAAATCAAGTGTAAGTTTATAGAGTATTACTATAAATATTATTTGAGCACAATTTTATTTAACACTAAGCTTTTTCAAATAATTAGAAATTGGATTAAACGTAAACTGCCTACTACTGATTATTAACCTAAAGGTGATTTTCCACTCATCCGTTTTTCTACGGGAAAGGGAAAGGGAACGGAAAAATAATCACCTGAGCATGCGCAGTTTCCTTACAGACAAGTAAAAACTTTTACTACGCATGCTCACGTGATGATTTTTCCGTCTCCTTACCCTTTCCCGTAGAAAAACAGATGAGTGGAAACTCACCTTTATAATCAACCACAGTTTATGGCTTGTGTCATCAATATGTTCAAGTGAGAATAATTGGGAAAACTATTGGCCATTGTTTAATACTGTCCTCTTCAGATAACCAACTATCTAATAAGATAACTGATTACTGCATTTAACATTGTTAGTTAAAAGATTTTTTGATATTTAATATTTAAATTTTGATTCCGGCTGCTTCAGCTTCCCTTAATTTGCGTTTCAGACCGTATCCGTCACTGTGTCAAAACAGTGACGGATACATATCGGATGGGGGATGCTAAGGGGTAATTACCCCCTCCCCTCCCCCTCCTTCCCCCCTCTAAAAGTTTCAAACTTCAAAATTTTATTTATAAAATTAAAGAAATTATTAAAAAATACAAAATACAATGTTGCAGCATGATTTTTTTGCAAAAATTTTATTTATATACATATTTAAAAAAAAAAAATTATTTATAACACATTCCATATATTTTATAAGTACTAGCTTAAATACATTCTAAAGGATCAAATGAAACATTGGTTTTAGCGAAAAAATTGTTGTGTCGATATTATATGGCAGTTACTTTTATTGTTATATGCCCGAAATCCCAGAATTGTTCAATATCAATCACGGCATTTCAATTGGCGATAAGACAGTCATTGTCTTCTTCTCGGCGATAAGACAGTCATTGTCTTCTTCTTGCTCCGGCCAATTTTTATAAATGTAATATGTCTATATTGTAAATATATGAAACAGCAAAAAAAAAAAAAAAAAAAAAAAAAATTGTCCTCTCCTTCTAACACTTGTCTCTGTATCGCATAAATTATGTTAAAAATCAAGTAATATATTTATTTGCTGTTATAAAGTGCTCTTTTTTCAAAAATTCCCCCTCTCCTTCCCCTCTTCGCAAAAATATTTCAAGTTACGGGCCTGTATGGTCAAAGTTTAAAGTGGGAAATACAGCATAGTAAAAAAATATGGACTTGTTAGCATGATATATTGTTAGGAAAGTAATTCGACGCAAAATAAATTTTTTCTAAGTTCGTTACGTATAACTATTAGTACTATATCAGAAAGGGGCTAGGAAAGTGCAACTTGTTGCTCTTAAGTTTAGGCCAGGGAGGCCAAAATTTTAGGTCTTTTTTTTTCCCAGGCTTCAATTTCGCTGTCTTTTGAAAAGAATCTTGATTTGACATTTGAAATAATTTTTTTTACACCATCCTCCCCACCCCCACCCCACCCCATCCTACCTCATGGTTTTAATTTTATTAAAACTTGAAGCATTAGTAAGTTTAATTTCTAGAAATAAGTTAACATTAATATTAACTTATTTAGAATTAATTTTGTGCTGTTTTTTTCATTCACGCTTGCAAACATGATCACTATTTTTTTGCGCTGTTTAACTTTTATAACCTTAGCAGGCCATAAACGTGGGCGGCGATCACCTTTAACTAATTAGCAAGTGAACGTGAACTGCTATCTCAATTTTTTTAATTTACGTACATACATTTGGTTGAACATCACCTATCCACCCCCAACGTACGCAAATTACACAACTTAGAACACCTAACCTCTTTCTGCGTACGTAATTCATGGATGACCTCTAAACATGATTGTTCTAAACACCTCTAAAATGGACACCTAGGAGGTCATTACCACTTAACTAACTTATAAACATTTCAAATTATTAACTAAAACAATGGTTTATCTAATAAAAATAAACAAAATTTAAGATTTTAGCGACTAAACAAAATCCTTTACTACAAGTATTAAGCCAGCTCTGAAAAGGCAAAGGAAGGGGAGGGATTCCTGACCCTAGTCTTACTGGAGAAAAAAACGCATTCCAAACTTATTAGCCTTTTTTTTCGAAACATATGCAATTACAAGAATGTAATGTTCATGAAGATTTGAAAAAAAAAATCAATGTAGTTGTAATCTTCCATTCAATCTTTACTGTTTTCCAAGTTCTTAAAAATAAAATTCTAGAGAAAGAGAAAAGTGAAAAGTTTTATTAAAAAGGGAAGGTAAAAAAAAAATGGAAATATTGGTTGTGTATATTTGTATATATTGGATTTTGTAGATTCGTATATATTGATTGTGTATGTTTGTATATATTGGATTTTGTAGATGGAACACCTACCATTGCTAACATAAAGCCAAGAAAGAGTTTAAGTAAACTTTGTACAAAATTGAACTTTTTAGTTTTGAAAGGTATTAGTACAGATTCCTGTGCTAACACATTCCTTGAATACTATTATTTTTTGACTTTGAGGTCTTATAATTTCATCTCTTGAATTATTGACCAACACAGGTTTTAAGTTACAGAGTGCAGCACAAGCCCTCACAATATCATCAACATGACGCAACATTGTTAGAGGAAAAACATTCTTTAAACTTCTATAAGCTTTCATTTTATTAATGACTCGTTCAACGTGTATTTTTAAGTTTGCTATTTTTTTAGTTTTTTTACATTCAGATGCAATCATTTGACTTTTAAGACGAACACCTGGAGGAATTATCAAAGTACAAAATCTTAATAAAAGTTCTTCCTGTATTTGAAATCCACGATATGCCATGACTTCATCGTCATGCTCTAACAAGTCATAAAACCACTGTCTTTTATTATAAAATTATCTGAACATCTTCCACCATAACAATCAGATAAAAAAGTGATAAAACCACTAGGCGAAATTCCTACAAGAAACTTAATCGTATTGCGTTGTTTATAATCAGACCAAGTTGAGGCTTCTGCAAAGAGAGACTTGGGTCGTTCTATAAAAACTTCAGCACAATCAATAATCACACAACACTTGTAATATCCTGCATTTTTAAAAACCCTAGGCACATTTTCCCTGATGGTTTCACGTGGAAGCCATACAATAAGAACACTACCTAACACATTGCTTATAAGTTTAATCCATGTGGAAAATATGTTAGAAGAATTAGTAGGAGAAATTCCAAATCGTTCTGCAATGTCTTCATTAAGAATACTAAGACGAAGTCGCATAAGTGTTAAAATAAATTCGTCACGATAAGAAAGTTTTCTATATTTAGTTGACTGAAATCTGCGCTTTAATTTGCTTGTATTCTGAACATGTTTAGTAACTAAGCTTTTGAAGAAATGGTATAATAAGTAAGAAGATGGCATTAAATAAAGCTATAGTAGATATCCCTGTATAAAAGTTCATTTTTTTGTCTGTTTTAACTTTGTTGCATGAAAAAATCAATAATTTCTTAGTTTGATTAACTTGTTTTTGGTTTAGTTGTTTCGAGGATATATTCAAGAAATTAACTTTTTTAACAAGAGAATCAATCAAAGATGTTTTAAAATTACATCCTTCACACATTAAGCAATGACTGGCTAGCATATGTATGTTCACAGCTTGGCTATGGTAGATAAATTGCATTATCGGTATTACTACTGCATAACTCATTGGTATTATCTTCAGTTGTATTATTATTAGTGTCATTACATTCTGTGCTAATACCTTCCGAAATTAAAAAGTTCGATTTTGGACAACGTTTATTTAAACTCTTTCTTGGCTTAATATTAGTAGAATTATATCCCATTTTTAAAGTAGGGTCTGGATTAGCAATGGTAGGTGTTCCATCTACAAAATGCATCGAACATACACGATCACTGTTGCATGGATTCCATTTTTTGTTATTTTTACCTTCCCTTTTTAATAATTTTCTCTTTCTCTAAAATTTCTTAAAGAACTTGGAAAACAGTAAAGATTAAAAGGACGATTACAACCACATTGTTCTTTTTTCAAACCTTCAAGAACATTACATTCTTGTTTTTTCCACTTCAAAAATTTT